CGCTGCTTAAGAAGGGCGGTTTTAGAGAATTCGGTACGCGTAGTTGAAATACCACCGAGTAATCTTAAGCGCCAGCTAGTTCGTAACCGCCTATATGACCGTCTATGTGCAACTCATAATTGCATAATTTGCCCCAGTGGTAGAGACGGTGATTGCATGAGCTCGGGTATAGTTTATCTGATCTCCTGTAAGACGTGTGGTGACGAATAGATTGGCGAAACGGGTAGACCCCTCTGTGTCCGCATGAAAGAACACCTAGCCGGCAAAAATAGACCAAATACCCCGCTAGGCACGCATAGGACCCAGAGACATAGCGGGGACGACTTCGAAGTATGTGTCACGATCCTCGCACGCGAATCAAGAACACAGGCGCGAAAAACTCTCGAGGCACTCTGGATTAATTCCAGAAATCCGAAAATGAGCCGCAGAGAAGAATGTCTCATTACCACGCGTGATATAGGGCAGTGTATAAAACTGCTTTTCTGATGTGAGGGGCACATTATACTTCCACGTGATTTCTGTGCGGTTGGTTTCTACGTGACATACTTAGTGGAGACCTCATAGAAAGCGGTGAGTGTGCAGAGCTGTGTTCAAAGTGATTGAAATCTTGGTTTGGAGTTTCTTTGTTTGGTTATGGAGGCGTCTGGCCGGGTGAGTTGCTATCAACTTGACCTTTCCAGGCTCTGAAGAAGGCGAAATTCGCCGAAACGTCAGCTTAATCGTGAACAAAGAATAGTAACACCTCGCGTTTGCTCAACAAAAATACGAAGAAAATCTTAGTTTTTAATTCCAATTGTTTGTTCTTTTGAACCTATGATTCGAAGTTATGCATGTAATTATTTTTATGCCTTGGCTTGATCTCTTAATGAATACGTTTGTTGATTGAAATCAAATGAATTATTATTGCTGGAGTTTCTTATACCAGTCGAACCTCGCCCATTCGTTGGCATGCTTCATCACGTTCAACTGGTATTGATTTAAGATACTGCTTACCTACACATGGATCTGTGGACTCTGTTACATTTGGATTTTAGTGTTTTAAGTGACAGCAGACTAGTTTTTAAAGCCTTATCTCATCGCATTGACGTTCCTCGTCAAATGCGCTCCATTTTCCACCATATTGATGGTATTTTTGCTTGCATACTTGAATGGCCTTTCTTCACTGGTTATGCGTGTTCCAGTACAATTTCTGTTGTTTTTGAATTTTGCTGGTTTATCTATTGCGGTTCCCTGGATTCTCGAGTTCAGCAAAGCCGAAGTCTACCCCTTGTCATCACCACCATAGGCAGTCGCCTCCGTTGTGGATTAGGCGGTGGTTTACGACCATGCGAATAGTTGCGTACCAGAACGTTGATGGATCCTCGAATTGGTTTACGCTTTCTCAGCTTGGGAGACCCTGCCGTGGGATGGATCCCACGCTGTAATCGCGGCAGCTCGATACCCATGTGATAGAGTAATTTAATTTGTGAAAGATTTTTAATGTTTGTAGATTCTGCGTTGGAATGCGCCCGATATCTGCATCACTGCTCCGATTAGGCATAAGTGGTTCTTCAGTGGTCTTGCATGACTCAGCCGATGATTATTTGCCAGGTCGTTGCGGTACACGCAGTGTGTGCAGACGAGTGGAACCATGAAGGACTATTAGCTGCTTGAAGGTCGGATAACTCATATGGAGACCATCTACCTTGCACTACAAGGTCTCTTTGAAGAATGGGCGGAAAGAAAAAGTGAGAGCTTTGTTCAAAATATGTCTTCCGCACGCTAGATTCCTACCGGTCGAGTTATATTATGAGTTAGTCCAAATTTTCCGTAACTTTTCATTAAGTTGCCTGCGTGTCTTGAAATATCTTCGCAGAGACAGCTCAAAACATATGGAAATCGCTTGTGTTGAGTGACAGCCATATGCAACTGTGCATAAGTTTTCGCCTTGGCATTACGCCTTGAACTCAATTCGTGCGATCTAAGCAGCCCTTCTCCGTAGTCGATCACATCCCTCTTTGAGTGTTCCGTGCTACAGTTCGACTTTCAGCGTATTTTTTCTCCTCGAATACTCCATAACGTTGTGTGATTCCTTCCGTGTTTCTCACTCTAGAGTGTGATTAATAAGGCCCACCAACAATGGATCTGCAGCATTTTCTGCCTTTGATAGTCATTTTCATACTATATGTGTGGTAGTGCGAGGATCGACAACCATCCTGCTATAAAACTACTCGCATGGTGGCAAATCTCCCCCTTATCCACAAAGACGGCGACTTCCTGTGGTGACGAGGACCTGGGGCAGAGTTTGACCTAGCTGACTTCGGAAGTCTAGGGAAACACAATAGCTAAACCAACAAAACTCCGATAAAAATAGTGATTATACTGCTGCCCGCACAACCAGTGAGGACGGACCATCTAAGTGTGCAAGTCAGTATATGTGTGATAAGAGATATTATGGTTACATGCACCTGGAATAGTCTCTGAGCCGTAATAACGAATTCGTGCAAGAGATTTTTTCATAAATCGTCATGTGCAGGGACTGATTTTTCGTGTGTTGGGCATTGTATGGTGTCTGTTGAATAAGATATCGACCGAATACGGAAAGTATAGGGCAGAACCTCTTTGCGCCTATGTAAAAACTGGGTTTTAAAAAATTCCTTAGAATAAGTAGACGTCCTCTGCAGTCGGGTAGGGTCGCTCATTACTTGATGTTACTACGTGAGAGCTGCTCACATTCTCATGATTTCTGAGAAAACAATGTTTTGAGGTGTTTTGGGAATCCCCATGCCACAAGAACTAAGTATCTATGTGGAAACTCAGCGATGGTGAGTATAGTTGGATATTCGGGTACTTGGATAGGCCGTCTTCACCGGTTGCACGGACGCCAGCATAATTTCAATGTTTCCGGAGCTCTTCTAGTTTAGCTACCATGGTTTCTTGTAGTCTTGAGGTCAGCCTAGCCAAAGTCGTCCCCAGGTAGTTACCACCACTGGCAACCGCATTCCGTGTGGATCAGAAGGAGATTTGCCACCATGCGGCTAGTTCGGTATCAGGTCGATGGTGGGTCCTGGTACTGCTTTGTTCTTAGTTGGGCTTCCTAATGGAAACTCCAGACTCATGCTCAGCTTTGGAAATCCTGCTATGGGATGATCTAATGCTGTACATGGCAGTCCGAAACTCAGGAACATCTCCAAATCACCACTATGAGGCTGCAAACTGTTGGGAGGGTTGGTAAGTATAACTATCAGATGAATTCTATAATCTCATTGAGACGAGGAAATAATAGGCATTGTGGTCTATACGAATCCATTCTAGCTTCGGTTTTCGTCATCGGATCATGTCAGGTGCGTAGAGTTGGATTGTTTAGGAGAAAGAAAATCACTTACGGTTTTTTCTTTACAAAGATAGGTGGTAGTTCTTGTGGGATGAAACGAAATGTATTCTTTTCGGTACAAATTCTGTATCAGGTTCTGCTACCTTGGATGCAGATTGCTGTTTGTTGTGAGTTACATTTTAGTTTAGGCGACTTGTAAACGGAGCTGTTCGTTGAATGGAAAAGGTGTTTTCTCTAATTTGTCCACCTCTTAGGATTTTGAAGTTAATTTTCCGTTTCCAGGATGGCAGTGTCGCATTTCTCAATGGAAGCTACGGATTACGTATTTGCAAGCATTGTGGGAATCCATTGGTCGAGTGGAAAAATTTTAAAACGAGGAAGCTAGTCATGTTTCACTTCATCTTTGGTTTCTATACATCCGTAATATGTCAAAACATTCAGATGCAACTGTCTAAGACTGAGTTTCACATGCTTTGCTCTACTTTGTCTCTATTCGAGCCTGAGAACTTTTGTCGCGAGCGTGATTTAGGTCAAGTTATAGGTCAGTGTTCTCATCTTCTTTATTCTTTAATGAAGTAGATGATTCAGTAAATAGACAAGAGCTAGGACTTTTCAGTTTTCCGACTTTTCTGATTAAATATTTTCAGGACTAGTGCTTAGATACTCCATGGATGAGCTTGAGATGGAATTAACGATGGAAACTTTCCGCGCTGCACTTTTAAGGATAAATGTGAAGCGGTGAGCAATGAACGTTGGACATCATGTAACTTCGTATAACCTGCGCAGGTCCTGAAGTTATTAAGTGTCCATTCTTTTAAAGATGTATTGCTATAAGGTTTGCGAGTACTACACGTAGGTCGTGTTTTCTTGCTTTGAGGAGAATGTTTGTGATGCTGTTTGGAGAAGTGTTCTTGATATCTCGTCTCAAACAGGAGAGGAAAGAATTCGGAGTTACTTCTCTTAACGGGGGGAATTTGTCCGAAAAGGAATGTCCTGAGCAGTTTTCTAGACTAGTTCTTTTTAGACTTCTAATTTTTTTTGAATGTGCCGTCGTTGTTTTCGCAGTTATCTGCAGCTTGCATTTATTATTAGCATTGCTAGGTGTTTTGCGATTAGATCTAGTCTAAGTTCTCTTATCTTCTGCTCTCTGTTGGTTGAAATGCGCTGCAAACATATCGACTAATGTATTGTGGCGTATTTCACGCAGCTCTTGACTGCGTTGATGAGTAGCTGATAGCCTACGGTTGGGTCTGATTTAACCTGCCAGTCATGTAGGCGATCGGTTTCGTGCAGAATATCTCGCCTCACAACTTGTATGTACTTCTTTAGCTATTGTGAAATTTCTTTTCCACTTTGGAATCTTTGCATGAAAGAGGTTGTGGTCAGAGCCATTGTGGAACGTGAGACTCCGAAGATGTCAAGGTTAAACTAACCTCGTTGAAGGTGCGAATAATCTTCGAGTGAGTCGTGCCAGTAGAAATTTGCAATGTGGCGATTCTCTTCCTCGGAAAACGGATTTTTTTTAAATCTCTTATCAATTCTACTGGAGTGTCATAACCTGATTTGGGCTCTCTGGGAATCGATGCATATAAAGGCCTTTGGTGTAGGATCACTTCCTTCAACACGTCCTTATTCTAGTTCTCTATGGCCTGATGTTACCTATGCGCGAATCCCAGAGCATCTTGCTTCATATTCGGTCCTGCCATCTATATTCCGCGAAGGTATTCAGATTTCCAAGTGGATCCGGGTGCTACTTGAGAATAGTCGTCTTTTCTATGAATGTCCTTGAATACTGGTCGAGTCTATTCTCTCTGGAATCTTAGGACAGTCATATTAGAGCGTTTCCAGATCTCTCTCTTCTAGCATAGAACACAGTCTCTCTCGTCAACTGCACTAAGCCGCTGTCGTCAGCTGAACCGGTTTCTGAGCAGCAGTTGTTGGTACCGCGTGTGTTATAGCCCATAGGTTGAAGGATGGCCAAAATAAGGTGGTACGATCTTGTAAAAGTTGATGAGAGCAGTAATAGAACGATGTATGACAATACCTGCACACTGTCGTGTAAATGGCGCATTCCGGTTTCCTTGTTTCCTGACTCTTATAGGGAGACCATGTGACCTCAGTAAGGGTTTGATGTAAGGATGACAGTTCTGACGTTGCAGATGCCGAAACTTCTATGACATTTCATAGAACTGTTTTTTGAAGTGGTTCTAACTATATCATCGTCAACACCCACCTGTCATCAGTTATCTGGCAGCTTGATGTCGTAGGCGCAAGTGCCTAGCGTTTTGACAATATAGATGTTTTTTTGTTGGTTGATGTTTTCTTTCTGAAGCTCTGAAGTGGCCTTGATAGTGCGTCCTCATTACTGTTTCCATGTGAAGTCAATAATCTTTGCGTTTTGGAATACCACCTTGCACAAAGGTTTCTTTCAGAGCACGGCTGATTCCATTCATTTATTTACTGCTAAATGGGCTCCTGTAGGCAAACATCGATGCGTCTTTTTCTTGTTCAGCAATTGCGAGGTTGTTATACAGACATATTTACTTCCATGCAAAAACACACAACACAATATTAGCTGAGGTTTTGGCAGTATCGCCTTCAGAGCCTAGAAGTAACTTGTTGCTGAGGACAGCTATTATTCTTTTTCTAGTGCTCGGAGCAGTATTATGTCCAGCCAGACAAATTTGGAACAAGAAGAGATTTCCCGAAAAGGAAACGAAAAGCGAAGGCACGTTAAAATTGAGGGTTTTTGTGGTTTCTGATTACTTATTCCTTCGTTTTTGTATTTTATTCTATCGTTTAGTCCCCTGTGTCACCAGCTGACTAATACACGGATCCTATGACGAGAAGCAGAACGAAGCGTTTAAACGCAGAGCGAGAGGATATTTTCAAGTTCACTCTAAACGGAAAAAATGTTGATTTATACCTTTTGTAGAGAAGAAAACGCGGCATCATCGGCGAAGGCCCGATTGGTACTGTAATTAGTATCTGTAGATAAGTCAAGGTCAGTGGAGTTATTCAAAGTATTCCAGTATTATTCTATTATCACAATTCATCGCGCATAACATCAGAGGTAGTACTGATGAGTATTTTTGGGAATGTAGATTGAAAATTAGGCTGACCAGTGATTCCACCATTAGCTGTGGCGCGATTTTTTTAAAATTATTTCAAAGACTAATGTTTCGGAAAGCGTCGTTTTAATAAGGTGTTGCTGACAAAAGTGATTAGTAGCCCAGTCGTCACTCATTGCAAATTTTTGCCGAACCAATAATTTATGAAATAATTTTGATTCCCTTGAGTATAGTGAGTTTTTTGGATGATAGTTTTATTCACTCACACTGAGTTTCGGTCTGCTTTTTCCACCTTTGAAGACTGTAACTGTATAGAACTACTCTTAGGCAGCAAAGTTATCGTGACATCTATTCCTACGGAACACTAATCTTGTAACATACTGTGGTCATGTGAGCCGTTTAGTTTCTGATTTTAACGTGAGTACTTTATTATGCGATTTTCGTTCTTCTCACCTCCACTTAACTCTGTTTAATATGACATGACTACGATAAGGATGAGGAATCCAGTTCTCAACTAGGAGCCAGATATTAGTGGGAGGATCCTGTTCCTAATCTTATTTGTCAGTTGACTGTGCTAGGATGACAATTTATAACCTTTATCACGATTGAAATACGCATTAGAACATAGCAGCTAAGACACCATATTTTTTTTCCAATGGTTTTACTATACGTATGGTTCGCTTCTACAGTCGTGCCGGAATTTCGCTAGAATTTGTGGTGTACTTGCGAGCTCGTTAAGGACGAGGGTAGTCGTTACCTTTTTAAGCGCCATGATCTCTAGATCCTCCAACGACAGACGATAATTGTTCATTGCGTAGTTGTAAAAAGGATTCTTTTTTTGTTTTCAAAGAAGTCATTGGAATATACCAATTTCGTCCAAATAACAACTAAGAAATCGATCGTTTTTTCTTCTGTTTTACTTTTTATTTTCTTCAACTGCGCACTCAAAAGCAGTCCATTAAGCAGCCATAAATATGTAACACCTTTTATTCAGCTAGTCAGGGTGCGTGTGGCTCAGTGGTCGGAAGCGCCCTGAGACACGCACAAGGGTCGATCCCAATGCCCTCCTCACACCAAGCTTTTCATCGCTCCGGGGACGGTAAATTTGTAGTAGACTTCTTTGGAAGGATAGCATCACTGGCTCGGTACATCGGTAGGCCACCGCGAGTCATTGTGGAGACCAGATACGCATTTAATCACCTCCAACGATGCTTAATGAAGCCGAAAGAATTTCGCATCCCTCAAGGATTGATCAACACCAAGAGCTTTTTTATTTATTATTCGACTACTCATTAAATGACTCCAAGAGTACCACCAAAACCATCATTCGTTTCTGACAGCTGCCAGAACTGCTCATAGAGTTCCACTAGCTTTAGAAAATGTATCATTCTCTTCTTCGAAAGCTTTATTTTTTGACTGCTTATAGTGATAAGACTCGAAGTCCTTTGCTTTGAGAACTAAGCGTGGCCACAGGTGTCTTTTAGATCATCCCATGAGTATATGGCGAGGTTTTTTCTAAAGTTGACCACTAATCGAATCCGCTCTACTTTTGAGACATTGCTTGCAAGCTTTTTGGCAAGCCGTACGTCACTAAGTCGCAGCTGAGATAAGCAACCATCTCCTTTTGCTAGCACGTCGAGTTAAGTGAATCTTCGGTTTTAGAACACCTTTAACCTCTCACATGCCACACCCTTGCTCGCTGCGTAACTTCGCAGCTTATCGTTTTGAGACTTGTGATATCACTAGCTAACGCATCGTTGTATCTCCTGACTCTTGAAAGTCTTTGTTTATGGCAAATGCTGTTTCAGTCACCACTAAAGTAACATGCAGCGAATGTTCAAGAGAAAATTGTGCCCAGTAAGTGAGTCATTCTTCTTTTCTGCACAATTTTAGCACCTTTTTTGATATATTTATTTATGTGATCTTATAAACTGATCTTCTTAAGCTGACGCGAGGTTGGTACAGATCTTCGTTGTCGTTGTCGTTGTCGTTGTTTTTGATGTTATTGAACGATTACAACGAGTCCCGCACGTAACATCACGGCTCTGAGGAAGGCGAAGTCACCGAAACGTCAGCCATCGTTCAATAACATCAAAAACAACGACAACGAAGATCTGTACCAACCTCGCGTCAGCTTAAGAAGATCAGTTTATAAGATCACATAAATAAATATATCAACTATCTATGCCGAGGTTCATAGAAAGTCGGTCTTTCGAATTTTAGCACCGTCATTCTTACTACTGTTTTTTTTTCAGGAGCTTATTCTGTGCTGCACAGATAGGGACCTGGATTTCCAGTGACGTTCTCCCTTATGTCCTGTTTTAACTGTGAATGTTTCCTTTTATGGTGATTAAATAAAGTGAAGTGTATAGTAGTTCTCTCCCACGTTCAGCGTTGAGGGTGGAACTTCTGGATTTGCGAGTTACCATGGATTGTCTTGGTCGCCATGATAACCTCAGAAAGCCGCTTAACCTGTTCGTTCCATTCTAATCCGTGGATCCTAATGTGACGTTCTTTAGACGTTCTTCTTCGTCCAATCTTGGCGTTGAAATCTCCATTTATGACCTTGAAGATTGTATGGTCTTCTCTGTATAACTTTTCCAAGTCCATATAGAACGCTTCGACTTCTTCTTCATCATAGTTCCATGTCGGCGCGCAAACGACGAAGTTT